AACCGTTGGGGGTTGTGCTCGAACCGCTGGGCATACGAAAGTAGCTCGTTGCCCACGTCGCTGCAGATATCTGTCTGCAAGCAAGGTGTTGCGGGGTTGAAACCGCGGCAATCATGTTGTTCGAGTCGGTGTCAGAGTACGGGGTCTCCAGTGGCTCGGGTGAACTCAGGAACACAACAATCACGCAGAGAAGACGCAACGGTTTATCCTGGTTTGGGCCAATTCGGGAGCTGATGATCCTTATACTCAAGAGCACCCAAAATCTACCGCGCTAGAGAGGATGGGGCTCCGTGGAACCTCACGAACGACGAGGTGCTCTAACTCCATCTAGAAGGATTCCACCGTGCTCTGGAGTCCTAAGGGCAGATCCGGGAGGTTGTACCAGAAGTGATTGGGCGACGGGAGTGCCTCGCCCGTGGTGACCTGATGATAAACGTTGGCGAACTTGTAGAACATCCGGCGGCAGTCCGACACAGTGGGATCCGGGCCCAAGCTACGCCGGATCTATTGGGCCAAGACCTCGAGATCCACTCTCTAGGGCCCTGGCGGGGGAGGCGACGCCGAGGGCTCGCTGCCCGCCGGCGCAGCCCCGTGAAGCAGACGAAGCTCGCCGTGGCAATCGGCGATGTAGACTAGGCTACTGAAGCAGAGGACCTGGCTCGGAGTGTAGGCGCCGATCGCGACGGAGAACTCGCCGAGGAAGCAGACACCGCCATCTGGGGCGGTACCGCTTGCTCCAACGACAAGGCGGGTGGCTCCGGCCACCATAGAGCCAGAACCACACTTGACGCTGCCCCTACCTGGCGCGCCAGCTGTCTCAGGTCGAAACCACGACAACCATGTTGTTTGAGTTGGTGTTAGAGTACGGGGTCTCCGGTGGCTCGAGTGTTCTCAGAAACACAAGAATCACGTAGAGAAGACGCAACGGTTTATCCTGATTCGGACCAATTCGGTCCCTACGTCCAGCAGCTAATGATCCTTATACTCAAGAGCACCCAAAATCTGAGAGGTTACAACAAAGTGTAAAGGAAGAGAAATTTGGTAGGGGGTTAGCTCGGTGCTAATCCTAAGGTTGCCTTGCCGCCGGTGGAGTCTCCCCCTCGTCGAAGAGGAAGGAGACGGCGGGATGCGGTGGAGGAGAGGCCCTCGGTGCCCCTCTTCGGGTTGCCCTGCTCTCGGTGCAGAGCGGAGGCAGATGGAATGGAATGGAGTGTCTGGTGATCGAACTCGCATCCTCCCCCCTCTAGGTCTGACCTTATCCCTTATATAACGAGATAGGAAGGGTATAAGGCGGTTTGGAAGTTCTAGTCTATGGTCTACGTGTGCCGGAGTCCAGGAGGGGCTTGCAGCAGTGCACCGTGGACCGTCGAGGAGTCTTGGAGCCGAAGAAGCCTGGGCATCGTCTGGCTGCTCTGTTCTAACACTCTGCATGTCAGGCGGTGTCAGCTTGGACCGGCCTTCCCCGGGTGAGACCTTATGGAGTCTTCTTGGTGGCGAAGGAGGTCGGCTCCAGAGGCTGACGCGCGGGCCCGGAAGCCCCCGAGCCCCCGGAGGCCACGGGAAGCTTTGTCTTCTTGTGTCACGCCCCGGACATGACCCTGTCGGAGGAGCAGTTGGCAGGGACATGCCTAGGGAGCGACGCCAGGGAGCCTCCAGGCATCGGTAGCCTAGGGCTTGTCTTCTTGTGCCTGGGCCTTGGCTGGCATCGTTAGCCGGACAGGAGCCAAGGATCGGGCTTGGTTGTGCCGTAGATCGAGAGCCCAAGGCTCGAGGAAGCCCCTGAGCCCTAGGCAGAAGCTGCGGTCGAGTCAAGCTAGGCCGGGTCTCTTTGCCAGAGGGTGCACACGAGCGTGCCCGATGGACATAGCCCCCGAGCCCCCGGGTGATCCTGAAGGGGTCGATCGGGGGGTCTTCTTCCTTCGGGAACCATTGCACCTGAGGCTTAACATACCTATGTGTTAGGATCTCGTCACAAGGCATGTATTGTCTCATGTATTGTTATGCTTCATTTGCAAAGTAAGGATAGGACAACGTATGTAAGAAATGACAACCATAAACTGCCTCTTTTCGGAAAAATCCCAGCGCCGAACAGCGTGTTGCAGATGAACCTTGTCATGAAACATCTGCCCTTGTCTGACCTCAATCCTTGAGTACTCCCATGAAGAATGATGACCATCATCGACCATCATGGCATCATGTGCGATGTGAACCTTGTCCTCAGGGATGTCGGTCTCATCGTCAAACCTCATGCCAGCAAATTTATCCATGAAGGTGACGTGCTCCGCATCGTCAGCCCCCATCTGTTCGATGATTCTTTCGTCCTCCTCACCCAGGTCAGCTTCCATGGACGGACCATACTCTTTCGCTTGTCCAGCCTCTAACGTGTTCTCAACCGCTTGAGGATCGCAAGCATAGGTTTGCTCAGCAATTGCTGACTCTAAGTTCTCCTCTGTTGCACCTGTGTTGCTACTCTCACCCTGCATGGCACTGTCCAAGAACTCAACAAGCATGATGCTGGCATAATGACGCTCCAATGCCTTTGACACAAGAAAATGCCACTTCTTCGTGTTACTGGCCTCGTACAGCTCCCACCTCCATCCATTCTCCCGCTTTTTAGGCATCAACATACTAATCCTGAAATGGTGTTGGGTAGGTGGAACACCTAAGTGCTCATGTAGCCAGGCTAAAACTTGTTTTCCGGCTATAATCTAGTGGCGAATTCAGTTCTATGTCAAACAACTGAAAATCGGTAAGGTCTACCCCGCTGTCTCCATATCTGATTTCACCGTTGCCATAGTAAATTCTGAAAGGGACTAAATCGGTCGACATTCCTGTTCACATCGTGCAAAATATCGTATAAGTTAATTGAGGTACCTTTAAAGTTTATACCCTAAAACTAACCCTAATCTACAACTACAACCAAAACTAATAACTAATCTAAAACTAACCCTAAAACTAGAAAAAAAACCCTAATAACTAACCCTACCCGAAGAAAAACTAATAACTATACTAACTAACCCTAAACAGAAAAAACTAATAACTAACCCTAAATGTTAACCTAACCCTAAAACTAAAATTACTCCCAAAACTAAATCTAGCTAATAAACTAAACTAACAAAATCTAACTAAACTAACTAAAAAAGAAAAAAACATACCTGAGATGCCTCCATGGGTGGCTATGTATGGGGGGGGGCTGTGGGGGGCAAGGTGTCCATGGTGGTCAAGGTGGCGGTGGCGGCGGCAAGCCCTCCACGGATCCAATGGCCGGGTGGCGAGCTCCAAGCGCCGCCATGTGAGGAGGAGGAGAAGCGGGCGGCACCAGTGTCGATCGAGAGAGAGAAACAACGAGCGAGAGAGAGAACGCGAGGGAGAAGATGACCAGTTAGATATTTTAGGACCTGCCGGCTATCCGAAGGCCGATAGGGTCCTATTGGCAATAGGGGTGCCGACATGCCTATCGGGTCGATATGGGTCCACTGGGTTGTGCTGTCTGGCAAGGTCGGGTACCTACTCGGCTACTGGGCCGCCGACAGGGTCCTGTCGGCCCACCAGCTGCCGATACGGGCCCTATCAGCTAGCCAGAGGCCAACAGTATACTACACTTACAATTCTTACAATCAAAATGCTAGATTTGCAATTAATCATTAAAAAAATATTATTTAAAAAATTCGGATTGTGGTAATGCCTGTCCAACTGTTCAACGCAGATATCAATTTCTACTTCATTCTTTCTAAATTATATTCATCCCCTAACTTTGACGAGTTTATACAAAAGTGCATGTTTCGTCAAATCTACCATGAACAAGGAAAACTCCATTCTTAATAGTGCATTTATCTGATCTTGTTCATTCTAGTTATATATTTTCCCAAAGTTAAGAAAACTTCAACTTTAAAACAAAGTTCAAATGACAAATAATTTGGAAGGGGAGACGCATATAAATCTGAGCACTTGAACCGTAACATTTGGAGAGTAATTTTATGAGAGGTTACCAACTGAGCATAAACCGGAGGAGCCAGAGCTCGAGCATCTCGCCCCTGCCGCCAGCTTTGTCCATCCGATACAGTTGTCCCTCGCCGCCTCGCTCGTCCCCGGTCAACCCGCAACCACCGCCAGTCTGGCCGCCTCCCAAGGCCCCCTCCTCCTTCTAAGCCTGCAGGGCATATATTCCCTTACCGAGGTTGAAGACGACGCGGCGGGGTCGCGAGGAAGAAGATGACGCGGCGTGTCGTGTGTTTGTGCTTCCGTGCGTCGAGTCACATGATTGAGTTTCTGATGTGGATTTACAAACAGTGCTCAGGAACGCCGGGAAGATGCAGATTCTAAGAGTGATATGGATTTACAAGGTAAGTCACTGAGCGGTATTAACCCCTATACCCTTATGGCTAGGCTCGGGCTGGCCCGGTCTAGGGGATCTGGCTCACTAGAAGACGACGCGTGGTTCATACAATCTGTTTGGAGTCCCACGCAAGGAATCAAGACAGATTTGGAGATCAAGCAAGATCCTGATCGGTTAGAATAGGAATCCTTATCCGGTCACCTATGACAGTTGTAACTGATTAGGATTAGTTTCCAGATCTGTAACCCTGTCCCCCAGACTATATAAGGCGGGCAGGGGACCCCTTAAAAAACACATCTCATTGACATACAGCAATACAATCAGACGCAGGACGTAGGTATTACGCCCTCACGGTGGCTGAACCTGGATAAAACCTCGTGTCTGTCTTACATCATCATCTTGTTCATAGCTTACGCATCTGTTTACCGATAATCTACTATCTTGAACATACCCTAGATAGACTGTGGACCATATTTCGTCGACAGTCACCGTGTTTTGCTTCGTACATGACAGTGGCTACTTGCATAGAGCTTTTGATGTTGCGTGCATGCAAAAATAGTACGGGCAGCCATACATCTCGGGGGAGAATGCCGACCTCCTCCACCGCGTATAGCGGACCCAACACCTACGCGGCCTAGTGTTGTTGGCCCATTTGATAACAGGCTCAGCCCACCAAAATGCTCGGTAGGTGCCACTGACATGAAGCCACGCGTATATAGAGTGCAGACGCCGCACAACAAATGGAGATGGCTTCCCCGGACGCGAATCCCCCTGCAGGTATGGATTTTAATATACATACCTGCACTTGACTTAAGTTTTGCTTCGATGGCATCTCCAATTCATTTGAGCCACTTTCAAACATTTCTAAAACTTTGGTTATTGTAGGGCGATGCATAGGTAATATCTGTATGCACCACAGGCCAATCAAAATCATTTTTCTTGCGATTTCCTCTTCTTCCTGTGCAACTTCACAAGCTAGTAATCCATCATTTTGAGCATAGTGATCATAGATCCAATCTGGAAAATAATTCTGACTTGATTTTTCAACCATTAATTTCACATTTTTCCTGCCTCCAACCATCTCTAGCAACAACATTCCATAACTATAAACATCTGATTTTGTCGAAGCCACTCCAAATGTCTGTGAATGCACTTCAGGAGCTATAAATCCAATTGTTCCTCTAGCACCGGTCACTGAAAACTTGCTCTCCTTACTACGACATAATTTAGCTAAACCAAAATCAGCAATCTTGGGGCAAAAATCGTGATCAAGAAGGATATTTTGAGGCTTGATGTCGAAATGGACAATACGTGTGTTACAACTATGGTGCAAATATTCTAGTCCACGAGCAATCCCAACTGCTATTGCATAAAGCCTTTCCCATCCTAAAATTTGTTTAGGGTTCTCCGAGTAGATGTACTTATCCAAGGAACCATTGGCCATGTACTCATATATAAGAGCTCGTTTTGACCCCTCCAAACAAAACCCATACAAACTAACAATATTAACATGCGAGGTCCTGCCAATGCTCATAACCTCATTCACAAATTCCTCCCCTTTTGCTTTGGAGTCAAGCAAGAATTTCACAGCAACTGACCATCATTTAGCCTTCCTTTGAAAACCACACCATAACCGCCTTCACCAAGCTTATTATTTATAGAAGATGTTATTTTTGTTGCTTCGGAGTACTTGTATCTTTTTGGAGCTAGTGATCCATGCGATGATATTAAGACCTCAATGTTCCTTTCGTTTTTGCTAATAGTCGTTTTACCAATGAGAAAACATGGTTTTTGCCCCTTTCTGTGACATATCAGCACACAAATACCTGGAAGGAGCAAGGTTCCAGCCACTGCCGTCAACACTGAATTAAAGTACGTGTTAATTTTTCTCTTAAAAACGAGCAAGTTATATTATGAACTGTTAAATTTCAATAATAAGAGTAAAGTTTTTAAAATGTAAGGCCAAAAATTAGTATTAGCAAGATAAAACTCTCAAATTTTGCTCCAAATTCACCAGTCTTGTATCCAAAGGCATAAAGGTTGTCTGTTCTAAATTTTAAACATTAACTTTAATGTGGCACTTCTATGATCTTGCATTGCAGAAAGTGAACTTTTAAAGCAATTCATAATATATAGAACAATTTTGTCACAACTGAAATACATGGTTAAATATAAAAATATGGCTGAACAAAATTAATTACCTATCAGCATTATCTTTCTGCTGCCAGTCCTCTTACTACCTGGAAAAGCACATAATATTAATCAAGAAAAAAGGAAATAGTTGTACTATTACATCGATTGTCTCTGAACGAGGGAATGCGTATAATATTTTTTTAGGAATCAATGCGTATAATATTCAAAGTGTCCATAACATTGCTAGAGAGATATTTTTTTTAGATTGAGGCATGTTGCTTCAATTTATGGTTGATATAAGCATGGCCAAATAAATAATGAGTTCAATATAGGTAGCCAAAGTACTCCGTCCGTGAATAAATAAGCTTCTGGAGTTGACTGAATTTTTAAAAAAGACTAATATTTATGACACAAAATTAGTACAACACGAAGTGTATTTTCATACTATACTTGTTTTTGTCATAGATGTTAATACTTTTTGTATAAAATTAGTCAAACTTAAGACATTAAAGACTGATATATGACAATTATAAAAGTTGATTTATTTGGAGTCGTAGAGAGTACAATGTTAATCATGGATTTTTTGTAGACACCATATAAGTATTTTGAAAACTGGTGTTGACAGTAAGTGATGAGTAATAATGGACTAATGATCCTATATATTACTAAAACGGGGATCACCTAGCTAGGAGGAGCTAGATAACTTTGCACACAAAATGAAGGGAGGTTATGCATAAATAATCACTATAAATATAGTGCATAGATACCAGGATGCATTAGTTCATTAGCTGTAAGTTCATCATAGTATTTGGTCTCTTTTCGGTCTGTATAACAAACAGAGCCATGCATTCTAGGAGCAAACTCCAGCAGATCCCTTAAATAGGCACTGAATCCAAAATTTAAAAGCTTAGATAAAAACACAATGCCAACATGGTCTCTACTCAGGCCTCCACACTCTCAGCTGTGTATCTCTCCGCCCTATTTGGAACCGCTCTCCCTCGCGCCGGGCACGCTGCCACCTGATGCTCCACCCAACATTCCCTGGGCCAACGCTCCAACTTTCCACCACTCCTCCCCAGACAGCCCCACCTTCGTCCGGCCTCCTCTGCCGGTGTGGGCCACCTCCTCTGGCTCTTCCCTAAGCGGCTCTGCCTTCGCCTAGTCTCCTCCCGACATCTCCCTTGTGGCTCCGCCACCGTCCGACATCATCGCCTCTTTGCTCGGGCAGTGGCGGCCTCCTCCCGGTGGTCCCCAGCCTTTTCCCCCCAGTGGGAACCGCCGCCCGGCTCCTCCCCAGTGGCTCCGCCTTCGCCCGGTTGCATCTTGGCCGATGGCTCCACCTCCCCCCGGCCAGATTCGGCACCCGACCTCTTGGCAGCACGTTGGCCGCATAGCTCAGTCAATGAGAGCGAGGAAGAGAGAAAAATAGGGAATGACGAGTGTGTCCATTATATTAGTTTCTGTTGGAATGGATTTGAGAGCCCTGATTTGAAGGCTCCTCTTAAAGTGGGATAAAAAACCAAACTCTTTAAAGTAAAGGAAGCCCCCAAATCGAAAGTAAGCACCTTGATTTGAGGGCTCTTGCTGGAGTGACTTTAATGCTCAACCTTATGGAGCAAACTAAATGGAGTTAATGAAATTGTGTGTGTGAGAAAGAGGGAGAGCGAGCGCACTCAAATTCTGAAAAGTCTTGATTGTTAACACTTTCCCCCCATTGAAATAATGAGCTTTTCAGGTTAGTGGAACCCACAGTATCAGCAGCCTAGTCAAAGTCTCCCATACTCTGCTTAATGCCATGTGAACAGAGCTGAGTGAGACAGGTCCCCTGGTTTGCATAGCCTGGAGAGTTGCACCATGACACCATCAGACATGATCTGATGGCTTGCAATTTTGCATCATCGCATGATAGATGACAGACCTAGGAAATTCTTCACTACGGAATCATGCTAGTTAAGAACCGTCACTTGGCTAGATAATCTACAGTCTCCCAAAGAAAGCTATCAACTGACCTATATATGAAGTGTAACGTAATGGGAAATAACTTGTACTCACCGCAGTTCACTGGGTAATGTATGCCGTCGGGGCAGTTGCAGGAGAAACCCAGGCCGTTGTCAGGGTACATGCATTCCCCGCCGCTTGCCGTGCACTTGGAGCAGTCCCCTGAGACCACCGTCCACTCCAGCAGAAACCCACTACTCAAGCTCGCGACGTAGTTGTGCCTGCTGTCCCGGTCTGTCGCCGGGAGAGTCGGTACGACAGCGACAAGGCAGCCCGGCGGCGGTGTTGCGCCGTGCTCTCTGCCGCCGTAGCTTCTTCCGAACCGCCGTCTAAACCCGATGAACGAAGTAGTTGTCACAAGGCATGCGCTGAAACCCAGGCACAGCCTCCGGCACCGGCTCGTCGCACCGGGAGAGGAACCGCAGCTCGCTGTTGGCTCTGCTGATGGCGAACGCCGGCATGGACCCCATGCTGAGCGAGAGGTTGAAGCACGGCGCCGGGCAGCCGGTGGCGAGCGGGAGGTTCTCGTCCACCACGTGCAGGGAGCTGTTCTGGTAGAAGATGTTCACCACCCGGTACGCCTGGAACATGGAGCGGCTCAGGAACGCGCCGCTGCTGTTGCACTTGAGCTGGAACGACGGCGACCCGCATGGCGGCTGCCCTGGCTCCTCCAGCCAGAATGGGTACGAGATGTTCAGGCTCCCGCATGCCTTGGGCGAGCTGCAGCCTTGTTGTTCAGGCGGCTCTGTTGTTTGGGAAGCAGCTAATGTTGGTAGTGGTAGCTGTAGCAAGAAGGCTACAGTGTGGAGAACAAGTGATGGCAAGAGCACCGCAGTCATGTGTGCGTTGCTAGTCAGTGTCAGGGAGAGAATCGAAGAGATAGATCATGGATGGAATGGGCCGGGGTCTCCTGGCTATTTCATGGAGGCCTGGATCACCGTAGTTTCGATCAGCGACTAGTCTCTGTTGTTGCCGTGCTGGATGGTGTGTTGAAGCGGTCAGATAAGTCTTCGCTTTCGTCTCTAGCACTCAGTAGTAGTCAGTCCAATTTGACCCCTTTTTTCCACATCTACTTTGTCGTCTCTGTAGTTTCAATTCAATATTACAATATCGACCGTTCAGGAAAAGACAAAAAAATTTGGCTACCCTGCGCGTACCCGAGAGTCCTGCACGCTTCCTAAAACCTACTCTCTCCGTCTCAAAATAGAAGTCGCTATAGAATGCATGCATGTCAAACTTTCTCAACTTTGACTAGATTTATAGAAAATACGTGCAATATTTATATCTCTAAATAAATTTATTATGAAAATATATTCAAAATCTATCTAATAATACTAATTATGTAATATAAATATTAATATATATATATATATATATGGTCAAAGTTAAAAATGTTTGACTTCTCAGAAAGTGAGAATGACATCTATTTTGGGACGGAGGGAGTACACTCTCTCCGTCCCAAAATAAGTATCATTTTGGTTTCATACATGGTAATTATTTTAAAAATTTTGGTTACATTTGTAGAAAATATTAATAATATTTTTTATCTCCAAATAAATTTATTATGAATATATATATACAATAATTAGTCTAATGATACTTATTGTGCAACATAAAATTAATGTTTTTTTATAAATTTAGTCAAAGTTAAATGTGTTTGATTTCTCGAGAAGTTAGAATAACACATATTTTGAGATGAAGGGAGTACACTCATTGAAACTTCGGAAAGTTGTGACAAAACTGTGAACACTGCCAATGAAAATTTTAATTTAGGGGAGGACGGAGGACGTTGTTGGGTTTTTATTGCTTGCATGTTAAGGGTTTTTTTAAACTCGCTCATTAAATTATTATTTAGAGAGTTATTTGAAAAAAAATCGCTCTTCATTTTTTTTTACCCTCTAACAACTTCTCTATATCTTCTTCTATTCTAGAGAGACATTCTCACTCTTTATTTTGACTAACGAGAAATCTGAAATAGAGGATATAGTAATATTTAGATGTTTAATTAGAGAACCTGTTGGAGAGTTTTTTTCACCAAAATCTCTATTACTCTCAATTAGGAAGGATATACAGAGAATCTTGGAGACTGGAGTTGCTCTCAGTTCAGTTCGTCAATAGTTTCCAGTCCATACCTCAACTAACAATTCACTGGTTGATACAAGAAAATTTAAATAGATTAATAATCTCTCCACCAAATCGTAAGTTGTTTTGTCATTTTTAGATATATAGCTTTTGCTACGCGTCTAGATATACATTATGTCTAGATACATAATAAAAGTTATGTATACAGAAAAGCCTGAACGACTTGAGTAACTACTAGTTCATATATCTAAGTAGCGTAGGACTAAACTATAATCTCCTAACAATTAATTCTAGAAACTAAGTGGACTACAACAAGACATAGTTAAGCCATTAACAACAGCGGTTAGACCATCAGTTTTAGGAGCAGGTGCATCACAGATGAGACGGGCAGAGCAACAAGACAAACACATAGATTACGTACTGTAATTATAGTCCTATTTTGTTGGTGCCGTAGTTTGCCAGGTCCCACCTTCGATAAACTGTGGCTGCCATAAAAGGTGTGGCGAGCAAAATTGAAGCCACATTTGCAGCAGGGTTCGGCACAAAACTGAGTCTATGACATAGTGTTAAGAAGGTGTGACACGCAATAGTTGTGACAGTGAACCAAACAAATACAGAAAAAATTAGGGAAAATTGGTTCCATACCACTAAAAGAATCGTGTTTCCGGAAAATACCACTGAAAGACATCGGACACGTAAAATACCACTGAAAGAATCATCCGTTACCGGAACCTAGTATTCTATAACAATCTGGAGCAAAACACCGTGAATCAACCGTTTAGCTCCTCACCATGCAAACGCAAAAAAGAAGGATAGGTAGAGTACTGCCTCATGCACCGCGCCACCCGCAACTCATAGCTCTGGAGCACGTGGATCGCGCAGGCTGCGCTCGCGATGCTCTTGATTGACTTGAGCTGTTGAGCACGTCCATGCAGTGCACGTGGTCGAGCACCTTCCTCCACCGGTCAACGAATGCAACGAGCTTCACTATCACGGGGGAGGCCTCGGTGGCACCGTTGACCAGCGTTAGTCTCAGCTTGAGCCAGCCATGGATGGTGTGGACATAAGTCGTGATTGTTGCTTCGCCATGTGGGCCATGGCCACAGAGCAGGCATTCATGGCGGCCTCAAGCGCCCGTGTCCTGCTGTCGTGCCAAGCGCCGTGGTTGCGTGATGGCGCGGAGCGGCAACGGCGGCGAGGAGGGGACGACGACCGGGCGGGGTGTGGACTGTGGTCTCGGACACAGAGTCACCGGGAGCAGTTCGTCGACAGTGAAGCGCGTGAGCACGGACGTGACGACGAGGCAGCGACAACGAGGCGCTTCGATCTACTCGCTGATGGCCGCGGTGGCCATGCCGACGATGGAGGGGACCGGACCGATGCCAATCTAGAGAGGCACGCCCATCTGGAGCCCCGTGACCAGCTCGCATAGCTCATGTAGAGCCCACCGGCACCGAGCATGATAAGCTCACGACATGCTAGAGCAATCGAGTTTGTATGCATGCAAATGAGTTCATGATGAGTTCGCGATGGCTGGATGAGGGTGAAGATGGCGATGGTGAAGTATCGTCCGAGCAAGCCACTGGATTGAGAAAGAAAGGTGCCTCGACGGAAGGATTGACGGCAAAAGCGGCCACCGTCACGGAATGTATTTTAGGTAACGGTCCATTCTTTCGGTAGTATTTTACGTGACGGACGTTTTTCGATGGTATTTTCCGAATGTCGTGATTTTTTGATACTATGAAACCATTTTTTCAAAAAATTATGGTATAATTAACCTTTGGTGTGGCAAGTTTTGGTAACACCTAAGCCATATATGTAACCTCTTCGTAGACCCCCGTGGCCTGCCTATGTCAGTGGCACAACTGTAACCTCGTACGCCACCCGCTGCCGGTTGTGGTGGACGATAGGTGAATGATGCCGGGCTGCCAGGGGCAGAGAGCACATAAAAAAAGGAGCGGTTAGAGAGTGATCGGCAGAGAGATGGAAACCGGCGATGAGAGAGGCAGAACAATATGGATTGCTAGATTTTGATCATAGGATGGATTTGGAGCCTCGTCGACTGAATTTTTCCCTCATTTTCCGTAAGTATAGGACCTCCCAAAAAGGTCTTGCAATAAATCTGTCCATCCGCGTTCACACAAGCCACTACGGGAGACGCGCTCTTTGCCGAGTGCTCGGCGCTTTTCCGAGTGTCGAAACATGGGCACTCGGCAAAGAGGCAGTTTGCCGAGTGCTGCACTCGGCAAAGCCGGCCCTCGGCAAAGGCCGTCTTTGCCGAGTGTCAATCACTCGGCAAAGAATAACCCTCGGCAAACGTCCTATTTGCCGAGTGTCAGACACTCGACAAAGAATAACCCTCGGCAAAATACCTCAGCCGACGCCGGTGGCCCCTCCGTCATCCTTTGCCGAGTCTTTGGCCGTTAGCACTTTCGGCAAGCGTCTTTGTCTTTTGTCGAGTCTTTGCAAACTGGCACTTTTCGGCAAAGAGGTTCCTTTTAGTGAAAGTGCCAATTCGACACTCGGCAAAGTATTTTTTATTTTGTTTTCAAATTTTACCTTGAAGCACATGTTTCAATTTAAAACTTTTCTATGACTTTTTGGTATATTTTTTATTTTTTTTTATATTTTACTTGAATTTTTCTCGAAAAAGTAAATTTGAGCTGTAGATGCATGAAATATTAAATTTTAGCGGGTCAAAATGGTTTAGGCATCAGTGCACGTCACAACTTGCTCTAAACTTCTAAATTTTTACCACAACCTCTACATGCATGACCACCAACTTATTAAACAAAGTTTTTTGATTTTCGGACTTTGTTTGCATTTTATATAATCCAAAAAACACTTGTTTAACAAGTTAGTGGTCATGTTTCGTGAAATGTATGTTAGAATTTCAGAGCAATGTCCTCAAGACACGGCCTCAAAATACACTCAAAAATATGAATACCATTTTTGAATCGCTAAATTTTAATATTTCATGCACCTCAAGTTCAAATTTACTTTTTTTAGAGAAAAATCAAGTAAACATAAAAATTAAAAAATATACCAAAAAGTCATAGAAAAGTTTCAAATTGGAACATGTGCTTCAAGGTAATATAAATGCTACAGAAAAAATTTGAAAAGAAAATAAAAATACTTTGCCGAAAGTGTCGGAATTGGCATTCGCAAAGGAACTCTTTGCCGAAAGTGCCGAACTTTGCAAAGACTCGGCAAAGACTATTCAGATTTTTTTTATTATTTCAGATTAAAGAACATTGAATATCTTTGCCGAAAGTGCCCGCATCTCGGCTTTTCGCAAAGAGTCGCCCTAATTAACCCTAAGGGTCAAGCGGCCCACCACTCCCCTCTCTCACTACACAAGACGCTGCCCCAAGACCACATGCACTGATCAACAAGACCGCCCGGCCCCACTCCGCTGGCTGAAATCAGGCCCGCCAGCCCGACCCAGCCTCGCTCGCCGCCCTGCAGCCGGCCGACCCGCTTGGCACAGCTCCGCTTGGCCGGACACACGGCCCCGCCGCCTGGCGCCGTTGCTCTGCTTGCCAGAGGCCGGCCCCGCCCCGCCCGCTCCGCGGCTGGTGGTGCCCTGCCTGCCGCCCCCCCGACCCATCAAGTGGAGGAGAGGAGGAGCAGGAGCAGGGGATCCAGTAGAGGAGAGAAGGGAGGTGGAGGAGAGGAGAAGGGAGAAGGAAGAAGGAGAAGGGAGGAGAAGGAGAAGGAGAAGGGAGAAGGAGCCTCAGCCGCCGGCCACGCCCCT